CAGCACTTTCCCGACTAGTGACTTGAGCTTGTTGAAATTTGTATTTTTGAAGTCCAAAACTTAAATTCTGCTATCTAGTTTGTCTGGCTTGTGACAGACAGTGAACATGATGGTTTCATCGTCGCTGTCGCCCAGGCTGCCCGCTATGTTTAAGGTGGTCACAAAGTCATCTCCTTTGGTCAGGACCAAGTCTAGAACAGCATTACCTCTGGTTGGCCCTTGCACCTTCTGAGTCAAAAAAAGCTCTTCAATGCAGGTCAGAAAGGAACGTGACTGATCCCACTTGGCCAAGTGCTCCTCCTAAGAGATGTCCAGGCAATTAAAGTTGCCCATGATGACCATGTCCCATGAACACACGGCTTCTATCAGCTCTTGGGCAAACTCTAGATCAAGTACCTCCCCTTGGTTTGGTGGTCTGTAGTACACACCTACAGTTAGGTCTCTTTCTTCCCCCCACTCTCCCCCAGCAGTATGACCCAGAGGGTTTTGAGTCATTCTTCTTTGGAGCCGATGTCAGCCTTCAAGGAGGTGTACTGCTCCTTCACATAGAGGGCTACACCTTCACCCTTCTTCCCTACTTGGTCCCTTCTATGCAGGGTGTAGTCTTCTATGGTTATGCTCCAATCATGTGAGGAGTCCCACCAGATCTCCATAATCTCTACTAGATCATAATGCCCACTGGAGAGTAGGAGGGCTAGCTCCTCCTGCTTGTTCCCCATGCTCCTGGCATTAGTGTACAGGCACCTGAGTCCTCCTACTGAGGCCCTCAACTTCCTGTCACACTGATAGAAAACTACTCCCTCAGCTCCCATGAGAGTGGCTCTTCTAGTGTCCCTATCTATGGGATAGTGTCCCTATCTATGTTGTGTTGTGTTGGAAATGGATCTGGACCTTGCTCCTGCCTCTGGTAGTGTTTCTGTATTATTCAGTTAATATTAACCAGATCAAATGGATCAATATAAGGATTGTTTTTTCTGACTTCACTCCCTTCATTGCCTATCATGTTTTTGGGGTTTTTCCCCTACTGAGGTTAACATTTCCGGACATATACACACGTCCCAGGTGAGGCAGGACCATAACATAATGCATGTGACCAGAGGACAGTTATGCAGGGGATGGTAGAATATAAATTCATGTACATGCTACCTGCCTACCTGAAGTGGGTGGGAATTGGGTCCTAATGTGCATCCTGAGTCAGTAGCCTATGCTGCTGAGCAAGATGGCTGGTCAAACACACCCCTGTGCTTAGGGCTCCCTCTTTCTTATCCCTGTGTATGTTTGCACTTTCTGGACTTAGAGTTGAAAATACCTCTTTCTTCCCACTCTTTGCACAAAACATCCCCACATGTAACCCCAAGTTACTCAGACAGGCAGACAGACCTTCTCCCGAGTTGACTGCTTTTCCTCTCGTGCTTTTGCTAAGGAGCAGTTCACCCCTCACCAGAATCCTGCAGTCTCTCTCTTTCTCCAGTTTCTCTAGTGCCAGCTCTCTTCTAACTCCTCAGGAATAAGCTAGCTCTGCCTCAGACAGGCACTGCTTCTTCAGGTTCTAGCAGTTGTTGGAAGGAGTCGAGTATTGTATCCAGCTGTTGAGATTGTTTATTTCCTTGCTCCCGCTATGTGAAACCCTGTTGCTTTGCCACATGCATCAGGAATTTTGCTGATTTGCTTAGCTGTGCTGAATCTGATCTTTCCACCTCTAATCATGAGAGGATCACTACACACAGGTACCAATGTCTGAAGAATCAGAGGCTTATCGGGGGATGTTCTTCTTTGCTTGTGTTTAAGTCTATGTAACATAAAGACTGCACAGTTCAGCCTGGCATACAGCTGAGAGGTCCAGTTTACCAATGGAGTAGTGCATTGGTATATCATTGGCATCATAATGACTTCTAGCGGCCAGTGAAAATCCTCCCAGATCAGCTCCTCCCCAGCAGATTGCAGCAAATGGGCCAACCCTCCCTTGTGAATTATTAGTTTCAAACATGACCTCCCGCTTGTTCCCCATGCTCCTGGCATTAATGTACAGGCACTTGAGTCCTCATTGGAGACCATGGGAGAGCAGTTTGCTTTGGACAGAGCTGTATTCTTGTTCTCCTGACCCATGGGTTCATGGGGATCACTCTGAGAGACAGACATCTCTTGATGTCATCAATCCCCAGGCTTAAAATATCCTTAAAATATCAGACATCAGACAATCAAAAGGCCCACCTTAATTTTTTAGCAAATTTAGAATAAAAAAGAAAACACCATATATTCTTGCATATCTCACAAAATCCCCCCCCCCCCAAATACCAAAAAAACCCCAACATAACAGCTGCTAGAAACTGCAGTGCTCATAAGAGTTGAGAAATACAGTAAGAGCAGTTTCTGCTGGCCACTGGGCAGAAGCAAAAGTAAAGCCTTCATGTGATTAGCAGGGAGCAGAACAATGAGCTGGCTCAGCTCTTTAGCTGCTGGTACTCAGTTACTTAGTACAAGGAAACTAGGAAAGATCTTTTTTTCTCCTTTCTGCCTTTCAAGAACAAGGTTCATATTTTATTCTGAGGCATGCTGTATGTGAAAAATATTGTATTTTGCCTCTGGCTCCCAGGTGCTTATGTTCAGTTTGATTCATGCCTTCAAGCTTCTTTCTGCAAGAATCAAGGCCAGAAAATGTTTTTAAAAGAAAAGCAGAATTTCTGGTGTAACCACGTACCTCCAAGAGCTGGGGATTTGGGAAGAATTACCAAGCAGTGCAAGACTGGTGATAACAAGTAACTGTCAACACTGTTTTCTCTCACCTTTCTGGGATCCTCTCTCATTGTCACTTTCCTGTGAAATCCTGATCACTGCCTGATCATCCTGCCCAGAAAAAGGATCGACTTCAGGAGTGGAAATTTCCCCAACATCATCATAACCTTCTTCACTGAGAAAAGGAGCAGCTGAAACCAAGAGGAGAATTATTTCAAATGAGTAGAATCTTTCCACTGGGAAGAGAGAGAGAAAAAAAAAAGCCTGGGTAGTAAAAGATAAATTTCACCTGCTGCCCCAAACTGTGGCTAGTCATATTCACCTGATACATTTGAAAGGGCTGATATGTCTATACAGTAGAAACCTAGCTGGTAGCCTGGGGTAGCTGTGGGAGATCATGCTAGGTTCTACTTGTGAGGAGTATATCCCCGATCAGGGATGGATGTAGGATTTTGAAAAGGAGGGTGCAGGTGGTGTGGTTCATCATAACGTATAACACAAAACACATTTTTTTCTGCAACTAAAAGGAAACCAGAAGCAATACTAATGTCCTAGGGGCCAAAAATTACAGGTGCCTGTACACACCATGGGTTTTAATCCTTATTCAATTAAATAGGTTTATAAAAATTAAACTTATTTATTTTGGAGTGTCACATCTGCATTTACACACACTAGGTTTTCAAATGAATTATCCAGGTCCCTGGCTGGTGCCGCAGAAGAGCGGGACAGTCCAGTGCTTGATCCCCAGCTGGAACCCTTCACCCACCCCATTCCCTTACTCTGCCACGCAGCTGTGGAAGCAGGGAGCCAGCAAACCACACAAGAAAAAAAAAACAAAGGGGGAAGCAATTTGAAAGCAAAAACAATGTGAAGGGGTGAACTAGAGGCTCATTACACTTCTCTTTGAGTGCCTTTGTGTTTGAAAGCAAGGAATTCATGGACATGATGCTTTAAATCCCAGTGAGCCAAACTAAACTACTTCCAAAGAGTTTTAGTTTAATACACAAAAAAAACTTTTAAATCATTGGGAAATCCCACTCATGCAAACAGACACACAGTTGCAGTGCATAAAAGGGCAAAAATTGTGGTGTGTAGATAAGCCCTATGTTATTCAATTCAAGATCAAAGTAAAAACAAATATAACCTTATTGGAATGTGCATTAATTTGCCATATCTTATATAATGTATAGTAAAATACAACAAATTAGGTAAAAAGATAATTAAAAGAGATTGTTCCTTTAATGTTATTGTCATTAGAATTATATATACATTTCTTTCAGATTCATAAAACAAAATCTAGCCTTCTTTCACATCTTGGCAGCATATCCAATGTGTCACTTAAAGGTATTTCCATCCCTGAGTTGATGGTCACCCAAGTTAACCATTCTAAACCTGAATTGATGTTTTTTAGCTACAATTTAAAAAGTCTGCATGGCTGTGAAAAAGAAGCTACATTAAGAGGAACAGCTAACAGAGAGCAAAACTAGAGGGAAAAATAGCTTGATTAGTGGAACATCAAGGCAATTAAAAAAAAGAGAGTGGGTGATTAACACCTATGGAATGGAGAGTTTATAAGGAATAAAATACATTATAATTATCCATGAAGTCATACCTTTACTGCTACCTGAATAGAAATGCTGCTGCCACTGGCTGGTGGTTGGTTTTAAATTTGGGATAGACTAGGAACCAAATGGGGGTGCAATATCATCCCTACCCCCCTCTGGATGTACCCCTCTCCCTAATTTACTTTGTTGTTACATCAGAGACAGAGGTATATGGGTCCTTAGTTTACTATTTATACAGGCCATGGACATAAGTGTGTCTGTAGTGCCCCAACACTTTCTAGAGAGAAAAAAAAAATAGAGCTCTTTGAGGGGTGTGCAGTTTAGCTTAGAGCTTTGGCTGCATGCTCATGACTTAGGAGCAGGCGTGGTGTTGTCATTTCTTAAGTGACATGTACCCATTGGGATATTCAGATTCTTCCATACTCAGCATTATTTCTTTGCCCCACTCCCTACAGCTTCTATCTGCAGGAGGCATCATGACTTGCACACAGGCAGTATCAGACCTGACCATACATATCCACCAGGTCCTGACTTAAATCATGGGAAGTCTTGTGAACTCTGATTCAGATCCACTCCCTCACATCTCTCTGCACCATGAAGAAGAGCAAGAGAAACCCACTGTGTTTTCAGGGAGCATCTTGGAAATTTATGTCCTGCACCAGGATGTGGGGTTTCACCTCTGTTCCCCATTCCTCTGTTACCTTTTACTGATCCAGGGTCATTTCCTTCCTCACTGTCCCCAGTGTAATACTGCAGCTTTATCATAGGGTCCTCTGAGTAGGAAACTGAAGAGATGACAAACAACATATTATTCACATGCCAACTGATGAACTGATCAGTTCTTGATTCATGTGTGGCCTGGAGCAGGACTTCTGGCCTCAGGGCCTTCTTCTAGAAAACAGTGTGAATACATGGAGACTCTGGATCATAACTAAAAATTGTAGAGTTACATGTTGCTGTGGCTCACAGAATTAACTCTGCTCCAATGTTTGAAACCATGTTTCAAATCATCCCTTTGCCTAGTCCCAAGGACAGCCACTTTCCTGACCCAGATTTGGTCATGCTTCAAGGCTGCAGCATGGGCAAGGGGAGAGGAAATGTCCCAAGAGCTATGAGTAAAATAATCTGGTACGGATGAAGCTCATTTATGAGCATGCACTACCTGGTGGCTCTCACTCCAGACCTTGAGATTCCACGGGTCATGGAGTTGAAGGCTGAAGAGATTTAGACATGGATCAGGGTAGGAAAGTTCCTTTGATATTTACTCCCTGTTAGAAATGGGGGACACAGACCTGAGTGACCAAACATTTCAAGTTTCTCTCTCATCCGGTTATATTCAATCTCCTCATACACAGCCTCAGAGAAGGGGTTGGAGTATTTCTCAGAATCTGAAAACAAAGGGTAGGGTTCAAACAGATTCACAGAAACAGAACACAGGAAATCCTCATAGATCATCCATTCCTTCTCCTAAATGCCATGTAAGAGTGTTGCCTTCAGGACAGTTCTTCTGCTTTGCTCAGGCTAGATCTAAATGTGGCAGGTCAGGAGGACCAGGAGGACCAGTTTCCCTGTGGGGATGGTTCTATGAGGGATGTCACTGTCACAAAGTCCCTCTGCAAATTCAGCCTAAAATGTCCCTTTTCACTTTCCCATCATGACTTTCGCTTACAGCCCTGAGAGCACCCACCCTGGCATTCACATCTACCCACCTGTTAAAGCAGGCTTGTCCAACATACGGCCCATGGGCCGCCATTAATAGAAATACATAGAATGGATACAAATATTTAGAGAGGTTCTAGTACAGGCTTGTCCAACATGCAGCCCACCAAGGCATTTTCTGTGGCTTGCGCTGCTGTGACGGGAAACCCCTTGTCCCTCCCCTAGCCCCTCAGCAGCTTCCTAATGGCTGCTGAAGGGCTAGGGAAGGGACAAGGTTCCCACATGCACTGCGTCAGCTTGATGTTGCCAACGCAGTGCAGCTCCTCCCCTCCTCCTTTATTTCACGGTGTCCCTTCCTCACCCCACCCCTCCCTTCCTCATTTGCATGCCAGCTCCTCCCCTCTCCCACATTAGAGGGTTTCCTTTCCTAGTCCCGCCCCTCCCTTCCTCATTTGCATGCCAGCCTTGCCCTGCACCAGTCCCTGCCAGCTGCGTGGGCTGGAGCAGGTTGCAGTGCAGTGGGTGGGCAGGTGCAGGGGGCGTGAATGCCGGCTCAGAGGGATGCTGTGGCTGGGCCTGCGAGAGATGCTGCTGCCGCTGCTGCTGTGGTTGTCAGGGCAGGAAGTCAGCACCGCTCCCACCTTCCCTCATCCCCCCATGCCCACAGACATCACACTGGGGGTGGTGAGTCACGGGTCCTGGGGAGGGAGGGACCCCTGCCGCTTGGGCTTGGGTTTGGGCTGCCCCAGGGGAGAGGGAGCAGGGGGGTGTCCCTGCACATCCCACATCCCCCTGTAGAGTCCCCACATGTCCCCCTGGCTGCTGAGCCCAAGTGCGCAGGTGTGGGAGCATCTTCGAGGCCACCCAGGTGGCAGGGAGGACACGGCGGGGTCAGGCAGCACCCCTTGACCCCTGCACGCCCAGGCTGCAGCCAGACTGGACAGGCTGCATGAGCACCCACTCCTGCCGGCCCACTGGGTGATAAAAAGTTCATGATCCGGCCCCACATTCAAAAAGGTTGGACACCTCTGGCTTAAAGGGAGATCATAACATCTCTGCTGTCCAGGTCTTTGTAACTAGTAGCTAAAAAAAGAAGAAGGAAGACCTGGTATGTTGGGATGGAAAATGAGGACAGTGCCTCAGTGAATAGGCACTGGTATACAAAGAGGGAGACAGGGGTAGTCCTAGGCCAGAATGAGGAGGCAGAAGTTACTTTACTTCAGTCTGTTCAGGTTGCCTAATACAAAATAGCCATGGGGGCAGGAGTAGAGCCCAGGGCCCACTTTTTCCCAAAGCAGTGCCCTTCCCCCTCACCCCACATATGCCACTCACCACCTCCTGAACCTAAGAGCTTTTTTCTGTTGTCCTTTCAAGCAAGGAAGCATCAGGAGGATGGATGGAGGGTGCTCTGGGTGCTGCACAGCCTGTTGTCTGGAGGTTAAAACCCCTGGCTGAGAAGTGGAAGTTACAGGTCCCTCTCCTTAATGACACTGACATCTCCTCCCTGTTCAGAATCACTCCCAAGTGTTGCTGTTAGAGTCTTCAGTTGGCAGAAACTCAGTGAAATGTTAAACATAACCAGAGCTAATATGCCCCTTAAATGCCTCCACCCAGCTCTTTCTGTGTCTCCCACCCTACCACCATGCAGCTCCCCCTGCAATTTCAAAGAGCCCTTTCTACACACTTAGACCAATGGGGACTCACCTCTGCGCAGTGCCCTGGCGCTTCGCACCTGCCCCCCCAGAATGATTAAGACCAGGCACAGAACAGCTCCCAGGACAATGCAGATGACAATGAGCACCATGTCTCTCCTACCATCAGCTGGAGGTTGGCGGCGGGGGAGATCTGGATAGAAATGGACATGAAACAGGCAGAGACTATTCTGTGAGAGTCAGAGCTCCTCTGTCACTTCTGGCAGTGACTGTGGCAGCAGGGCCAATGGCAGAACACAGGCAGTTTTTAATGGGGGCAGCTCAGGCACTGCTGTGTGTCATGGGCCTTGTCTGGTTAGCTAGAAGCCACTGGACAGGAATGGCTCCTGCTCAGCACTCCCTGTAGCTCCTCTCCCTGGTGTCATTTCCAGTAGACTCTTCACTCCAAGTGGAGGAGCTAATTAGCTCAGGCTGAAGGCTACAGCTCAACTCCCTGGGAACCCAGCAACTGAGAAATATAACCCTCAGTAATGTCATGGGGGGTGCTTTACCTGTTCTCAGTGGTGATGCTGTCACCTGTCTTGCACCTGGGAAGGGCAAAAAAGGGAGAGCTGGAGTCTGGAGAGGCAGCATGTTTGCTAGTAGGACAAACTTCCCCTCTGAGGGTAGGTCTGCATCACACTACTTATGCTCCATGGGAGGGCTGCTCCTGAAGGCACTGCACCCGCCCACTCCCACTTGTATGCACCATTCCCCAGCATGAGATGTTGGACCCATTCCAGAGATATCTCCAGTATCTTTCTTGAGCTCTCCATCTGTAGGTTGTGCAGGCCTAGTCACAGCAGATTCCCTGCTGCATTTCTAACTAAGGGGTGTGTAGGTGTGAGTAACATGGTGGGACATACTTGAGAGATGCCTTCTCCAAGAGTATGGGTGGCACTATGTAGACATATCCTGAGTGTTCCTGTATGTTTGCACCCCTAACAACTCCTATGAGGACCAACCCTCCCTCATAGCAGAACAGGGTCTATAATGCAGTGACAGAGTGGCTCGCTATTTTTTTATGGATGCCTAAATAAACAGAGTTCATTCCCTATGTGGTCATCTAAGTCCTAATATGCTACTTATACAAAGGTTGGCATTCTATTTCTGCATGCATAACCCTATGCACCTTCATGGCTGTGTATACATCCAGACTGGTAACAAATTGTGGTGAAAGTGAGGGCAAGAGACCTCCCATCATTTCCTCCTAAAAACAGAGTGACTAGGGAACTTACATGAGACACCGGGGGCCCTGTACTATGTACCTCGCTAACCCACATGAATTTTGAACTTGGGGTTCTTTCTGATTTTTTAATATAGCTTTTAAAAGACTATGGCACAGCTCAACCATGCCCCCATCCTTTTTTCAGTGTGCCTTTGGAAGGTGCATTGTTGGATAGTCGGGAGAGGGATGCATGGGAGAGATATATGGAGCCAAGAGAAAAGGGGCAAAGCAAGGCAGTGTGTAGCTGAATAAGGTGGTTGTTATCCTGAAAGAGAGAGGACCCTCGGTTCTAAGTTTGGCACCTGCCCCTCATAGGACAGAAAGTTTTGTACTGCACTATACTGTCCTTCCCCCATTTCTTCCCAATGTCTGTGCTGGTGGCTTAGCTTTCAAAAGGCATGGCAGGGAGAGGGGCAATGCTGGTATAGTAGTGAAAATACCGTGCTACAAACCAGATGCTTTGATTCCACACTCCCTGGCTTGGGGCCTAGATCTCAGTGTCTCTTATTATCCCCTGAGCCATTGATCTACGGGAACAAAAGAAATACCTACTGCTTTTTCCCCATTCTGAAACTAAGCTCAACAGTGCCCTGGGTGCTACTGTGCATGCCCAGTCTTTGAAACTATGTAATAGCACAGAATTATCCATGCGTATATGGCTATACATATAGGAACAGAATACCAACTAATGTGCAAGCAGCTTTTGGGGGACTTAGATAACCAAAAATGCCTTATAGACAACCAAACATGAATGACTGGATGACCAAAACAAGAACAGAATGCCACCCTTAAGGGTCCAAGACTCCCTGTGGTGACAGTGATGAGGAAAGGGGTAAAACACCAACATAATGAAGTTTGTGATGGACATAGGAGCTATGACAGAATATGATTTAGTGATTCTGGGCCCAAAGGCACTCCACCTCTCAACATCTGTGAGTTTCCTCCATTTAGAAGATGGAGGACCAGATCTGTGTCCAGGCAGGAAGATCCATGGGTTAAAATACATTTGTCACCCGTCCTCCACAAACAAAGCACAACAGTTGAAAGAACTGGTCACTCACCAGAGCAGTTCACAGCAGCATCTTCCTTGTGGTGGCATTTACTGTCTCCCCAGGGCTCAGAACAACAGTCCCACAGAGATGACTCTGTTCCCTTGCAATTCACCTTCTCCAGCCAGATGGGACCAGTCCCTTCCCCAAATGCAGCCTCACCCAGGGCAGACTCAGCAGCTCCGCAGCCCAGTTGCTTGCACACAACATCTGCATCCGCCATGTCCCAGGAATCATCACACACTGTTCCCCAGGAGCCATGGTGCCAAACCTCCACTCTCCCTGAGCATCCATCCTTTCCTTCCACAACACGCAGCTTCTCCTTGTCTAGGAAAGGCAGAAACCTCACACATTACTGGGACAGCTGGGAACAGACAAAGGGATAAAAGCAGATGACAAAGACAAGAGGAGAGATACCTGTGCAGCTTGTGGAGTTTGGGCATTTAGTTAATGAGGTCTGAGTGGAGTTCTCTTCTCTTCCTACAAAAACAAAAGTGAAGTTAGTGGACAATTGTGTGTGCATGCTGTGGAAAAGAATAGCATTTATTTGGTCATTAACCCCCTAAATCCATCTTACTAACAGCTAAATAAACCAGATTTTTTTTATTTTAAACCCTGAAGAATTTTTTCTTTGTTTTTACTGGGGATTATGCAATCAACTTGCAATTCTCTCTTCATTATGTTTGCCCAGTTGTATCTGACTCTTCCTTTCTCTCCTTCTCTCCCCTACAACTGGGACTGGATATAATGCTTTTTCTTAGCCAGAGTACACCACAACCATCCTGGGAATCCAAAGACACCAAATACTGTCATTAATGCTGGTTCCAAAACTGGGTGCTATACCTGAAACAGACTGACACATACACACACACTTGGTGTGCTCATGCTTTCATGAACAAATGCCTACACATACAAGTGAACATGCCCCTGCACACAGACTTCATGGATATGCTGATCTGACTGAATTTCACAGCCTAGGCCCATGTCTGCTTGTTAATTCCAAAGGCCAAGGACCTTTACAAATGACACTTTGAAATTAGTGGATTTTTTTTTTATGATGTCACTGCATGGTTGCATTTTGGAAGGCTTTTTCATTTATAATTAATAAACTTCCATATGTGTTTTCATGGGCTATAGCCTCACTTCTTTCACAAGTGTTGAAAAATGTGCGTCACTGCTGAGAAGAAACGTGTCTATGTTGGAAAAAAAAAAAGAAATGTTTATCACTACCTTTCAAAAAAAAGCACATTTATGTATGTGTCCATGCATATCTGTGTATGTGTATGTTAGCATGTTTGTGTACAGTATTACCTGAACATATAATATGGGTCTCTTCTGCTCGGTTATCACATGACTGTGGGTCCCAAGGGTCCGATGGGCACTGCCACAGGAAGCTGTGCTGCTTAAGGCAGGCAACATGGTCCAACCATGTGGGACCAGAACCCTGTCCATATGCAAAGTCACTTGCAAAATCTCCTCTATTTCCACATCCCAGGTGCTTACATACAAGATCTGCTGTGATGGCAGTCATGCGATTGTAGCAAACACTCCCCCAAGTCCCATTGTAGAAAACCTCTAGCTGCCCAGCACAGTCACCACCATTCACCAGCCTCAGATCCATGAAATCTAGAAGGAAACACACAAGGTGAAGTGTAACTGATACAAACCAGAGAGGGAAAGCTGAAATCCTGACAAGTGCTGACAGCCCTGTGCAGTTTTCAACAGGAACATTTGCTAGGAAGAATCACTCCAAGAATCAGACACACAATCTTTTGCTCCAACACAATTAGAGACACAAGGGTCCCCTCTAGAAAGTCACCACTTACACACAGAGATACAAGCAATATGACACTGACTACTCTTTAACACTTTGAGGAAAAGATAGTGAGTCTTCCAGTGCTATGAGTGCAAAATGGTGACATTATTATGACAAGACATAATTAGGTGACGCTGTGTGGACTGGTGGGTAGAAGAGAAACAAAGATGGCCATTTCCAGCTCTCCCCTTCACTATCAGCCTCCACCCTTACATTTCCTGGGAAACAGGCTCCTGAGAGCAGACACAGAACAGACCTGAGCAGAGCACTCCTGCATCCTCCTTGTGTCTGCAGTCGTGCTGCCCCCAGCCCCTGGAAGGGCATGCCCAGAGCTCAGATTCACTCCCAGAGCAGTTCACATCATCCAGCCAGATCTGCCCTGAGCTTCCCCATAATGAGCGGAGGCAGCTGCCTCGATGGTGTGTCCACATCCCAGCTGTTGGCAAACCACGTTGGAGTCAGCCAGGTCCCAAGAATCATCACAGACGGTCCCCCAGGTTCCCTGGTAGTAAATCTCCACTCTCCCAGTGCAGCGACCTGCCCCATTCACCAGTCGGATCTGTCTGCTTCCTGTAGGGAGAAAGCCCAGAGGTGAATATGACAGTATCCTCTACAGGAGGGGATTTTTGGGACATTTCAGAAATACATCACCTGAGCAAACAACACCAACATCCTCAGCAATTCTTGCCTGCTCTGTCTCAGGAAGGTTGGTGTTGCAGAGTGTCAAATGAGCCTCGTTTCCTGCACAATGGACTCTTCTCAGCCCCACAGGGCCTGTTCCTCGTTCAGATTTCAGTGGGTGATAGGCTTTTTCAGCAGCACCACACTGGAGCTGTCTGCACACCACACTGGCATCATCCATGTCCCACTGATCATCCAGGACTCTGCCCCATATACCACTAAGGAAAATCTCGACTTGTCCATCACACTGGCTTTCTCCATTCAACAGTCTGAGCAATCTAGTGTAATCTGAGCCTAGGAGAGATGGGAAACATGCAGAATGAAACTTAGTGATTTTACATTCGAAATAATATACACAGTATGTCTGAAGTGAAGTTAGCTAATCACAAAGTACATAATTAAAAACAGTAATTCCTGTCACAACCTTGCTTGGTCGATTATTTCTTTCTGTATTGAAAAGAAGAATGTCCTATATGTACTGTGAGATTGTGAGGCTGATGGGAGAGCTTGTTGCTACATCCTACTCATGAGCAGGTCAGGACAGCCCTTTGCATTATTTTTTGGGAAGGGAAAACACACATACATACAACTTAGTGTACTTCACTATCTCGTCACTTCATAGGATGGCTTAAAAGCCTAGAAATGAATGAATGGTATCTGAGCAAGTCTGAGAAGGTGGATTGAGGGTTTAGTGGTCAAGTCATTGTTAAGAATAAAGATCAGAACTCTTGGTTTTCCAAGCAGGTGACTTTTGGTATATTTAATTAGTTCCCTCTTTTTTGCCACACACGTGGTCATTTTTCTGGTCCAAGACAGGAGCTCCTAATTTTAGTTGCTGGCATAGACATCTCAGAAAATGGTGTTAGCTCGATGTCCAGTATATGGTTGTGGCTCACCTGGTCTTACCACACAAAGGAGTCTGTATGCGGTAAGTTTTCCTCAGGGGACTTAGGCCCAGAGACCCCTCATTTTTTAATCCTAAAGAGGTCACAGCTTGAGATAGACAATGGGATGCTCAGCGTAGTCACTTAAGTATTTTTTTTTCTGGCCAAAGTTAAGGAAACATAGACTCTCAAGCACTTTGGTAGTTAGGCAAGGTCTTTGTGGATGGTTCTACCCAACTTAAGTGTCTTCATTCTTTTGTCTTGTGACTCCATAGCAAAGGTTCAACTAGGTCAGGGAAGAGAGCACAAAAAACTGTCAGGACTGGTAACTTTATTCTTTTGACCAGAGACCAAACCACAAACAAATATGGTGCCTAGGGAGACACACAACATGACAATATTTAACAAAATGCTACTGCATCAAGTAGCACAAAGATATTAAGCATAATGAGCAGGTAAACTGTAATGATATATTGTCTGTGACCACTCTATACTTCTTTATGTCTAATGAAGGTATGTATATTTTCCAGATTTGTCTTCTGACTGTGCTGTGCAGTTTCCCTTAGTAAAAGGACTATAAGGTCAGAGACAATGATAATTCTGTGAAAGGTGTTTTCCCACTGGTGATTGGCTGTTCCTATCCTCTATCATAATCCATGGATCCTACAAATATCTAACACAGAACATGACATATCTTGTCTCATGTATCAAATGCCCTCATAGAAACAACATAGCTGAAATTAAAAAGCCACTACCCTCCACAGCGAGTTATCACAACCAAGGGGGAAGCAAATATCAAATAGTACATAGCACTCAAGTCTGGAGATCTGGATACTCTGTATCCTGGAATTGTAAAATAATGTGATATCTTGTGTCTAGGAAATGTATGAACATTTTTTCAATACAGGGGTGGCACTGTGTAACTGAAGAATACCAAATATAATCCATGTAGGAAGAAAAGAAAAATGATCTGGGAGCTATAGGCTCATTATTATGATCTTTACAGCACACAGGATTTTAGAACTAATTTTAAGGAAAGGATAATTGAAGTAATGGAATAAATAGAAATAGGGAGACCTGCAGGTTGGACTTACCAAAGACAGGTAAGACCAGACTAAAGTGGTAAGTTTCTGTGATAAAATAATTGATCGTCTCTAGAGAAAGGCAGATCACAGAGAAAACAGTGAGCTGCAGTGAAGAACAAGTGTAGTACACAAACGTTTTAAGTTTGTAAGAGAAGACAGCACTGGGTAGTTTTAAATAAGGGAGTACCATGCCTAAAGGAAATTAATTCTGCCGCTTCCCCAGACTCTTGTCTAAATTTTTTGCACCTAAAATCTTGGAACACAAAGTGGGAGAACACTGATGAAATTTGCTGGCAACATAATCCCCAATAGGATTGGAGTATCACAAAGAATGGATGCTGGGAGACTGAGAACTAAAGCAAGGCAGGATGAAACGTACTAGCACACAATGTAGGACATGCACTTGGGGACTAATGACAAGAATTTCTACTACAAGATGGGAACTCAAGGATTTGAACTGTGGTGAGGTGATTTGGGTATCCTAGGTGATCCCAGGGTGACTCTGAACCACCAATGCAATGCAGCCAAGAAAAAGGAAAGTGCAGTCTTTGGCTGTATCAAGCCATGGATTTCTAGAAGAGATAGGCAAGTATGAACGGTATATTTAAATGGTCTTGGTCAGACCTCATTTGGAATACAGTGTCCAGTTCTGGCCACCTGTGTTCAAGAATGATGAGCTCTGATGCAGGGGCAGAGAAAGGATAAAAGAAAGATTATGAGAACAAAGAGACTTTGTAACCAGAAAATATTAACTTTC